CTTCGGGAATCGAGAAGGTACTTACGAAGGACTCTATATTCGCAACTTTGTTAGAGGGTTCGAGATTTCAGACTCGGAGGACTAGGAGCCTCGCCTGTTTCAAGAAGACGAAGAGGGATAGAAGAAAGGGTAGGAGGGTTGGTAGTAAGAATCAGACTATCTGATAGGTTGGCTCGCAGCCGGAAGTAGGCCTGCGAATTCTATTCGCTCAACCCCTGTAGGGTAGCGTACTAGGATTCTGAAATTCCTACTTTCCCTCCTTTCAATTCCTACGTTCCCTCTCCTCTATCCTCTCGTAACGGATTCACGACGTCGGAGTCTGAAATACTATGTTTTCGTCTTCCTTTGCTTCCTCTCCAGGAGTCGGAAGCTCCCGATTCGAATCCTCCTCGCAGCTAGGAAGCTCTTCTGCTACCCCTACACGATCGAGCGCTCGCTTACGCCAACGATATGGTTCCGCGACGAACCTCCCACCGAGCCCAACACCAGGGGACCGCCGACGTAGAACAGAGGTTCGCAAGCGTCGTACAAGACGGCCGACTATAGTGGAAGAAGATCTAGATTCCTCTCTAGTACTCCCCGTTGAGCCGGACTATATCGGGGAGTGGGATATTAAGGCCAACTGCTGGCTATGGAGGTTCAAGTATAAGGAGAACTTTGAGAAGTGGTACGAGGTACGCTGGTGGAACTATACTGGGAAGCGGCTCAAAAAGCGGAACGGTCGTGCTATGTTTGATCGGTCCCCAGTCACCTGGGGGAGTGAGTCTCGGACATCTTGGGTATGGGATTTCCTAGAGGAGGGAATGCTTCAAGAAGATGCGACACCCAAAGTCGTATGTAGGTGCTGTGACGCTGTACTAAAACATCCTGCACTGAATACCGGTACAACGTCTGTCGAGAAGCATCTGGACTCCTCGAACTGCCAGGAGAAACAAGATGAGCGAGGGTTTACGAAGGAGATGTTTGCAACCGCAAAGCATCGACAAGTAAGTACTGACTACCGACGACCAGACCTGCCGACCATGCCTGCCGACCATGCCTGCCGACCATGTCTGCCGACCACGTCTGAGTGACTATACTGAAACTTCATCTCTAGACTGTGAGCAATCCGCGATGGACGAGGGACCTAGGCTATACACCGGACGATTTCCCGCGCTTATCCTTCGAGATGATTATCGACAATGGTCTGCCATTCCAGTTCTTTGAACGACCGTCAGTAAAACAGACTTATATGGCCCTACTCCCGGGACAGGTCGAGACAATTCAGTTCAAATCCGCCTCGACATACCGTAGGATGCTCGGTACCAAGGTTCAAGAGTCTGCTGAATCCCTTAAGACCCGTCTTACTGGTAGATTCAAGATGGCTATCGCGTGTGATGGCTGGCAATCCAGAGGTATGAAAACCTCATTCCTCACTATCCGGGTCTACTGGATTGACGACCACTGGGTCTGGCACGAAGGGATGCTTGGCTTTCCACATATTACTGGCCGTCATACTGGTGATCACCTTGCGGAGATACTATTCGAAATCTTACAAGAGTTCGAGATTGAGTGCCGATTGACTGCAATTACGTGCGACAATGCCTCGAACAATAAGACCCTACACAATGCGATGTAAGACCACTTGCTTTACTCTTCCTACTTCCTTCTAATATTCTATAGTGTTTCAGCGATTGATACTTGTCAAGAGAGGTACGGTATAACGGCTGGGAGGCCAGCAACGAGCTTAGAGGAAGGTACGGAGAGCAGTCCCGACTCGGAGATAGGAGAGGATGAGGAGGAGGCAATCGCGGAGCATGATCGAGCTAGCCGTCCCGAGCGATTTCCCTGCTTTGCACATACTGCCCAGCTTCCCTTAAAGGCCTTTTTCGACCGCCTAGGGCTCTGTCCGACTAACGACCTTTCCGAATACTGGGATCACGAGAAAGATCGGCAGATATTACAGAGGAGGAGAAAACAGAGTAAGCAGATCAGCCGCCCTCAAGCTGATAGTATGCCTTACCTCCTTCTGAAGGTAAGATCAGTCTCTGCGGCCTATCGCCTGTTAACCTTCCTATTTTCAAAGTGTGGTCGGCTCTCGTGGTCGGCAATTATGGTCGGCACTCGAGATTCCCTTCGCTGATTTCGATCCCTAGATCCGGAAACTTTGCGTCTTTATCAACTCGAGCTCTCAAAGGTTCGAGCAGTTTATCCACCTGCAGAAAGAGATGCTTCAAAAGAAGGAGCCATTTGCAAAGCACCGTCGGTGGAATGGCGTTCAAGATCGGATCCTAAGGGTCGTTCAAGACGTGAAGACAAGGTGGTCCTCAACAACGTTAATGCTCGATCGCTTCAGCAGACTGCAAAGAGTTATCGAATCTTATATCGATCGACTCGACCTGAGTGAAGATATGGGTATCGATTCCGAAGAGTGGCAAAGGGTTGAGTACCTTATCGACCTTACGAAACCATTCGCAGCGGCGACAGCAACGATCGGAACAACGAAAGGTCCGACTATCCACCTTGTCCTCGCATACTACAACCAGCTTTTCGACATTCTAGAGGAGGCGATGAAGCGACTCAAGAATAAGAGGATACCTTGGAAGAAGGATGTATATCAGGCATGCGAGGCTGCTTGGGCTAAGCTTGAGAAATATTATCGAGATACCTGGGATCGATTTGGCGATTACTACGGCATCAGTGTCCTCCTTACCCCCTGCCTTAAGCGGAAGTTCTGGGTACGCGATGACTTCGGGGATGAAAGCTACCGCGAGTATTACGAGGGTAAGCTAAGAACAGAGTGGGAGAAGAGCTATCGTCCATTATCGAGCACTTCTACCTACGAGTCACGTAGTAGAAGTGGTCGGCATAAGGGCCAGATCGACTTTACTCTTGGTGGGAGTGCAGAGTCTTCTCAAACTCAACGACGTAGCACTCGTGAGGGTGACGAGCTTGCCGACTATCTGGACGCCAATATGGATGAAGGGGATCCATTCGAGGTACTGAAGATATGGTCTTCGCTTGAGCCTAAGTACCCTACTCTCGCACTAATGGCGCGGGATATTCTCTGTATTCCTGCGGCCGGAGTTGGGTGTGAGCGCGATTTCAGTATCGCTCGACACCAAAGTCGTTTCAATCGCCAATACTCCGCATCAACATTCTCTGAACTAATGGTATCCCGTTTCCGCTACCGCGACGATGAGTACGATGCCAGAGTTCTTATCGCCCACGAGGCTACAGAGGCTGCTCAAGCGCTTCTTAGTACTCTAACTTCACAGGAGATCCTAAGTGAAGACCGAGAGCAGACAAAAGATCTTATGGAACGGATCAGTGACTTGGATGCAATCAGCGATGATGAGGGAGATGGGGTAGAGGAGCCAAGGCGATCGGTACGCCTAAGCTTCAAGCTTGCGCAAGAGTGCCTCCGGGATGCTACGAGACGATTATAGCGAGCTTGGTTTGAGCTTGTATGAAGTTTACCTGCCGACCATATTTGCCGACCATGGTGCTCAAGTTTCAAAATATCACAAGCTGTAATCTAGCGTATATATTCTTCTATATTTATTCATTCGATCTGACTACTCTCTTTCTCCTCTTATCTATATCGGGCTTATATACAGTTTCTTTTCTAATACCTAGTTCAAATAACTTGCTCTTAGGGCACTCGGTTTCTAGGCTTTTTCTTTCTGTTTACGAAAAATCAATACCCAATGGGTACGCAATACCCACTGGGTATCGTAATACCCACTGGGTTTGTACCCAACCCGATGGGTTGGGTTTACCCAGCTAAATACCCATACCCATTGGGTATTGCCAATACCCAACCCACCCCACATACCCACCAGGGTGGGTTGTACCCATGATGAGGCCTAGTCTCCGTCCCCTTCCCTCCTTCCCTCTAGGCGCGGGCTTCGACGCGGAAGCCCTTCAACTAATGGGGAGGTGGTATTTCAACAAATCGAGCGGACAAAACGGGCTTACGCTCAGCAGCTCGTAACAACAAGGCTACTCGACTGCTTACACGACCCGGTCCGACGTCCAAGTCGTCTGCAAGGGATTCATCCCAGCGCGCTATAAAATTACAATACG